GTCAAACATCACCCACCACTAATTATTGGGCTACTCTTTACCAACCATGAGTAGAACTGACTTGTCAAACATCACCCACCACTAATTCTTGGGCTACTCTTTACCAACCATGAGTAGAATTGACTTGTCAAACATCACCCACCACTAATTCTTGGGCTACTCTTTACCTTGGGCTACTCTTTACCAACCATGAGTAGAATTGATTTGTCATTTTATAAGACGTCATGGCTGAAAGACTGAGCATATTTGATGACAAGATTCAAACCCACAACCCACAGACTAAAGAGTCAAGTGCCCTAACCACCAGGGCATCACATCAAGTGTCTTTTATAATTATATCAATCATCTACATTAACATGTAACATCAAAGCTGAAGTAACACTGTTGTTGGCTAGTGTTAGTTCACAAAAAGCACTTATTTATAACAAATATATATTTTTAAATCTGAATTAAGAAATATCACTTTTAAATAGTAAATTTTCCAATTGCACAAATTTATATTCAAATGTTATTGCTACCTTACAGTTGTAAGAAAGAGTGTGTATAGTTTTTATTCCCATACTAAAAAAGCCTGTGGCACTCAACCACCATTTTTATGCTTTGGCCATTACAACCAGTATCCACACAAGTGAAATACATATTGGATGGGATTTGTCTAATAAGAAATGACAAAATCCTTTTCATTTTGCTGCTTTCACACTTATATTGTTAATATTCTACTGCATAATATCTAAATTATATCTAGTCCTAAAGGACTAGAACAAGTCTACCACACAACAGTTATCAGAACAAGTCTACTACACAACAGTTATCAGACCAAGTCTATCACATCACTGCTATCAGACCAAGTCTAGCACACCACAGATATCAGACCACGCCTACCTTAGTTATTACTAATAGTCAACTGGAATTTACTGTTCAGTAATCTATTTAAGTTTTCAAAAATGCATGTTATACTTTCTAATTGTGTCAAGAAATTAATCATACAATTACAATAATACATTAAACAAACTGTCCCAGCGTAATATAACATGAAACTTATAAGTTTTATAGCTACATCTAGTATACCTAGGCTAGCCTTAAGACTAAGAGTAAAGATTTACAATACGACTACAAGCTTCAGTAAATACCACTATTAATATTAGTACTAAAAACAATTAGAAAAACTTTAAAAGCTGGTACAAACATGCTTTCAGTTTAGTATTTTTTTCTATTTTACGTTTTTTTTCTTTTGAGTTTATACTACTCGTATCTTCAAAAATTGTCATACAAGTCTGTATCCCATTTTATTGATCTCTTATCATCGACATTTTATCTACGAAATCTATTTAATACTGAGGCAGTAGATATTACAAAATGGTGAGTGAATGTGACGTGAAGAGATTTTTCTAAGAAAGCATACATTTAATGCATTGATAAAAATCATTAATTCCATAAAAAATATACTAAAATATATGTGTCTGTATGTGCGTTTTTAATTGAAAATTATTTTACACAATTTTAAAAACAAATACTAAAATTTCCGTTAGACATGTTTCAGGTTTTAGTGTAAGCAGAGTTTAGAAGAGATGTCTCGGTCGCTTTCATGATTGGCTCGAGGGTATTGTACAATAGATCAAGATGAACGGATGAAGAAGAGAGTAGGGCCTCTAACATTAGAGCTTGTTCATAATTTAACTGTGCGTTTAATCATAGAGATATTACTATTTTGAACGACCTGTTATTTTGCTGATCGGATGTACCGCATGAAGACGCTACAGAAAGTTCAAAGTCCAAGACTTTTTATGTTTAACGTTATAAGACGACTAGTTATCAAAGATGTCACGAGATTTGTACGCTGGAGTGCCGCAGCGTTCGCCGAGAATGTCTCGCAGACAAGAGATGGCGACCCTAGGACACGGGTTGTCTTCTAAAAGTTACACATCAATATCACAGCCTCCTTCCGGACGAGGCAGTCCAGTTACACCACGGGTGCATTCTTCGCCGTCACAGGTCCGTAAAAGTCGCCAGTACGGCGTAAGCAGATCAAGCAATAATAGCCCTTTGAACCTACCCCAAGACAGTTACATCCCCCATTCTTTCAGTAGCGGCGGTTTTCACGCTAGCCAAGGTTACTATAGTGACAACCCTGGTAGTCCCGTTATGGACGTCCGAACTAGTAGTTCCGCCCCAAACTCAAGCCACCGAAGTGGTTCAACCACCCGGGACGCTTCACGAAATTACCACTCGTTGGAGCGAGTTCAGGAAAGGGAATTCGTCCCAATCCGAGAGCCGCGAGAGAGATCACTTGACCGCGGAGACACGAGTAGACATCCCCGAAGTCGAGAACGCTCTCTTGAGCGTTCGGGGTACAGGGATAGAGAAATGGAGCGTGATGCGTATTATCGTGATCGTGAAACTGCCATAGACGTGGACGGATATAGAGACAGTGGACACCACATCCCACGAGCTACACATAGCTCCTATGCCTCAAACAGTGAGAGGCCTAGTTATTCTAGGGATAATTTTATTATGGAAATCCAATCACGACTAAATGATTTACAGAGTCATTACGATAATGTGAAACGAGAACTTGACGTTACCACTCAAAAACTCGGGTCCAGTATGCACAGTATTAAAACATTTTGGAGTCCAGAACTGAAGAAAGAACGTGCGCTAAGAAAAGAAGAGGCGGCTAAGTACACTTTAATTAATGATCAATTAAAGATTCTCAGATCTGAAAACCAGGTAAGATGAAAGCTCATTCATCACAAATATTATGTTTTACTTTTACCATGTTGGTTTAGCCTTTGCAGTGTTTTTAGAACTCCCCCAGGGTATAAAGAAAATGTTACCCTTGGATACCAATATGTACAGCTATTTACATATCTATGTTTATAATTGTTATCCTATTTTAAAACTATATACTACAAATAGGATGCTGTAACTTAATGTTGGTATTATTTGTGTTAAATTACGTTACATGAAGATTTCCTCTGTGGACTTAATTTTTGTTGTTTTTTAAATTAGTGTAATTATTATTATGGTGTGAACATCTTCCAAGCTTGTGAAGTATGTTTATAATTAATTATATTTTTCTTAATATATTATGTTAGACCTATTATTTTTAACACTAAATTATTAATCTAGTCCCTTAGGAATTTTCGAAAATTAGAACAGTAGAAGAGTGTATAATAGAAACATTCCAACAGCACTATGTTTGTCATAGCCTTTGGTAACGACGGGTTTCACTCAGTCCAGAGCCTAATATATTGTTGCGTCATCGAGTCACATGACTCCTGTGACGAAACGTTTCTAGAACCATCATGTACTTTGGCGAATGGTCTAGTGTTTGCTAGAT